TGCTCACGCTCTGGGGTGCAGCCCAGGACACGTACCCACGGGGCCATCGTGTGACACGGTGTGCATGCTGAAGGACAGCTCCTGGCCTGGGTCACGCAGCAGCTCCTTGCGCTTGGAGAAGGCCTTTGCGATCATCTTGCTCTTCTTGATCCTCTTGGGTTGGTCGTCGCTCTGCCCCGTCAGCCTGGGGACACAGCAGGTCACGGCAGGGACATGGGCTGGCCCAGGAGCAGGGGACATCGCAGTGCAGGCCATAGGGACCCTCCCCATCTCCCTCTCCCACTCTGGACAAGGACACCAAGGGCTGGGGACTGCTGGATGGGTCCCCTGGGGATGGAGGTGTCCCACAAACAGGACATGAGATGCCTGCGAAGTGGGAGAGGCCACCCCATTCCTACACTGCCATCTACTGTGAGCCCACAACTCACTGAGGGACAAAAGCCTGGGGACCACCTCCAACATCTCAGGGCGTTGGGTGAGGCAGGAAGGGGCGACATCCGCAGGGTCCTACCTGCACCACGTGCGTTTCCAGATGAGCAGCGTGGCCTTGGTCCAGACCCACGTGCTCATGGAGATGCCGGTGCCGAACATGGCGAAGAGGTTGATCTTCTCCACCAGCAGGCTTGGCCGGTTCTTGATCTCACAGTCCGGGATGGGCTTGTTGGTCTGTGTGGCAATGGTCACGTTGGCCTCACACCTGCGGGGACAGACACGGGACACTGGCCGTGAGGAGGGGACACCTCTGCAGAGCGAGATGTGGTGGGAACACCGGTGGGGCACATGGGGCTCCTCCATGTTCCCCACTAAACACAAGGCGCTGGGGTGCCATGAGCATCCCTCTTGCCCTCCTGTCCCCATCCTCATCCCTATCCCACTCACAGGACGTATTCCCGAAAGCTGCGTTCCCACTCCGCCTGGTTGAAGAAGTCATAGAAGTGGCAACCAAAAGTGATGAAGACGAAGCCAAAGGCCAAGAAGCCAAAGATGCCTGGAAGAGAAGTGGAGGTCTCTGATTTAGCTGGACCCCAGCGACACCAGGAGCCGTGCTCCATCACTACAGCTTTGTCCCTCATTGCAGCCACCCCTGGGATGTGGGATGGGGCTGTTGGGGTTTTCAGGGGACGAAGCGTCCCCATTCCCACTCAGATCCCCATGGATGGTGCCACTGGAGCAGCGCTCACCCAAGCGCAGCATGGTCTCGTTGATCTTGCTGGCTGCCTTCTCGCTCAGCAGCCCAGGGTGGTTGCTCTTGATGGAGAAGAGCGTAATGACCCCTGTGGTGGAGGGACGAGGGGGTCAGCCCTGGGGGACACCCACAGTGACGCCGTCCCCATTCCAGCGAGCCCACACCTACCCCGGATGAGGAAGTAGCCCCCCACGATGAGGACGAGCCCAATGGGCGCCAGGACGAAGCCGGCCCGGTACCGGTAGTTCTTGTACCCCACAAAGCAGATGCCACTGACGGAGTCACCATCCACCTGGCAGAGATGGGGAAGAAGGGAGTGAGGTGGCTGTGGCCACCCCACACGTCACCCTGGCAGGGAAGCACCAGGACATGGGATCGCGGTGCCGGTACCTGTGCCACAGCCAGGATGGCCACAGTGAGGACGAAGGGGATGGACCAGGTGATGAGGTGGAAGTAGGAGGTCTTGCCCACCAGCGGCTGGTAGGTGGTGCCCAGAGCCTTGAAGGAGGTGTGCCAGGCATAGGTCAGCATCACAAACCAGATGACACCCGACATCAGCGAGTAGTAAACGATGACGAAGATGATGACGCAGGAGAGCGTCTCGTTGGAGCTAGGGGTGAGGTGAGACAAGAGCATCACCAACTCCACAGAGGGACAGGGAGGAGGAAGGGGGTCTCCATCCCCTTCCAAGAGGCAGGGAGGATCTAGAGGACACCTCTTGGCACACGGGGCAGGGACGGAGGTGACACGTACGTGGGTTCCCCCAGCCGCATGGTGCCGTCAGCCCTGCACACGATCTCATTGCGGGCTCTGTCCATGAACTGCGCCAGCCAGCCGATGCTGCCCACGAAGAAGCAGGCGTTGACATAGAAGAGGATGACGGCCGGGTAGCGGTTGGAGTTCCTCCAGTCAGCAACAAACGTGGCCTGTCAGGAGAGGAGAAAGGGACAGCTTGGTGCCTGGCCCACTTTTGGGGTCTCCGCCCGCGTCTCACCAAGGTGAAGAAGGTGCAGAAGATGGTGACGGAGCTGAAGGCAGCGATGTAGACGTGCATCTCGCGGTGCTCCTTCTCGGTGAAGAGCGGGTTCTGGCACTGGATGCCACAACCCTCCACGTCCTCGTACCAGCTCTTGGGGTTGTCCGTCTTCACCAGCGGCGCCTCGCACTGCCCCGAGCTGTTGAACTTGATGTTCTGCACCTCGTTCTGCCAGAGGAGAAGAGAGGCCATGAGGGGGAGGCAGCAGCCTCATGGTGAAGGCTGTGGACACCAGTCCCCCATGGAGGGCTGTGGAAAGGCTACGTTTCCCCACCCCTGCTGCCCCGTGAGGATCATGGAATCAACCAGGTTGGAAAAGC